CGTTTTCATTCACCCATAATAACTGCTATTTACTAGCAACTTATTCAAATTAGTTTGACCTTTCTGAGATTGTATTTAATGCGTCGAAATAAAGGTCATTCAAATATTGATTTCTGTAGCAAGTGGAAACCAAATAAATATAACCATTATTCAATCGAAAACTAATTATTTAAACACGCAAAATACAACTGTATCATCCGCCAAATATAATACGAGCCATATTAGAAGACAGTTGCTGTTTTACATAATTGTCGTGTGGGAAAGTTTAGAAAGAAACCTGTTAAAATTTCGTTTTCATGCTATATTCTTCCTGTACTAAATTGCTCCATAATTTTGCACCACTATGAAAACATTGTGAATAAATAAGCTATAAAAATTAAGCTAATAAATAACTTCATATTTCAAGGGTTTGTTATCATATTATTCTATAAATTTTTGAACTTGAATTAGGTTTAAACATTATGAATAATAATCGTCTTTGAGCTCAAAATATAAAGAACATCAAAGCCTACTGCAAAAGCTACTAATTTCTCGAATTAAAGACTATAAAGGGGGTAAATTAAAGCAGTTTTACCTGTCGTCTGTCTGCTGTTGCTCGCCATCGAAGAGAAGAAAGCTTTCATGAAGTGTCGTTCAACTTCTCGTTCTGTATTCCCTTCAAAATACCTCATGACTTTGAAGTTTAAACCCAGAATATCCGAGCTCAGAAATTCCATTGGTATTTCACCTTGGTTCTCTTGTATTCTGGTGGTAATAAACTCGTCATTCTTTGGAGGAGCTTGGAAAGAATTTGCAAATGGAGTCGCCATATTTTGACTTGTTTATACTGTTGTAGAGATAAAGTTTCCCTCGAGATTTCACTTGCCAATCAACTGACCTTGCTGGAATTTCTTGCTGATATTGAATTTAAGAATCTCTTGGTTCACAAATAATATGTTACTGCTAATGATACTGTTGCAGTCTAAAAGCTTGAAAATATGATCAAAAGTATAGTTTTCAATCGTTTTAAAACAATTGATACCAATGGCGGTAAATTTTAAAATGTAATCTGTTACTTCCGGTTAAATATACCAGCTGGCATTGAACAACGCAGGCTCTGGATATTTTTCTTTATTTACTTACGGGTTTTTTTTTTTTTGTTCTTGTTTTTTTCTTTTTTAACTTGAATGGCTGGAAGAAAATGGAAAGAGAGGATAGTAAATAAGGAGGGGACTGGAAAGAACAAATTAAAAGAAGAAGAGAGCAGAAAGACAAACGTGCCACTGAAAAAGAAAAAAAAAGAAAGGAAAGAAAAAGAAGAAGGAAAATAAATCAAGTAAATAGAAGATAGAGAAAGAAAAGAAAAGAAAAGAAAAGAAAAGAAAGAAGTCTATTGTGTTTACTTACTTAAACGTACGAACTTTATACCAATGCACAGTGAAGTTTGGTTGTTCGCTGCCGCTAGTCAAAAATATTATAAGTACCGATTGAATAGTTTTTNTCCGGCCGGGACTCGAACCACGACCTCCCGCACGAAAGTCCGATGCTTAACCAACTGAGCCAACCGGTTTGCGGTTGAAAGAAAGAAAGAAAGGAAAAAGAGAAAAGGGATAATATAGTAGCAATAAAAGGAGAAAACGATAAACAAAAACAAAAAGAAAAAAAGAAAAGAAAAGAAAAAGAAAAAGAAAAGAAAAGAAAAGAAAAGAAAAGAAAAGAAAAGAAAAGAAAAGAAAAGACCTCATATGCAATGATAAGTAAGAAGTCCTTGTCGTAGTACAATATAATTGAAGCGCTTGGCGTCTTTTTATCATTTAATTTCCTAAATCTTTTCAAGAACAACATTTACCAGTCATTACTATGGATGACTTTTAATGCCTATCTTACCAATCTAGCATTTCAACGACCATCTATAAAAGAACAAAAAAAAAAAAAAGACAAGAAAACAAGAGATTTAAATATTTTACTGCTATTCACTTAAACGTACGAACTTTATACCAATGCACAGTGAAGTTTGGTTGTTCGCTGCCGCTAGTCAAAAATATTATAAGTACCGATTGAATAGTTTTTATTGATTGCAGAAGAAAAACAACAAAAACAAAACAAAACAAAGCAAAAACTAAAACAAATCCAGACTGCAGATCGCAGCTACAGAGTTCGCATGTTTATGAAATAAATAGCAGTAATCCTAGACTGCGAACTAAATCCCTCTATTTCCCTTGGTCACTGTCCGTCTGTCTGTCCGTGTCGATTGGTCGAGGAAAATTGGTTACGAGTCAAAAGTCCCTGGGGGAGGGGGTTGGGGAGGGAGGGACAGGACTTTTGACTCGTTGGCAATCTTCCTCGACCAATCGACACGGACAGACAGACGGACAGTGACCAAGGGAAATAGAGGGACTTAGCTTGCAGTCTACAGTAATCCTCTAAAGAGTCGTCATATCCCTCAATATTCTTTTTTTTAAATTGCAGGTCAGATTTTTATTGGGTGTTGAAATCACTGTTCATCATCATTGTTCCATTGTAAATTATGCGATTGAAAAACGTATTTGTTCTTCGTTTCTTCAAAATATACACTTTATTGCCTTATACGACGTCACTTGACGTCGTTAACATACGTCATAACTTAAAGACGCCTTACTCAAATCAATCAATATTTTACCAATCAATTATTCAATTTATAAATCAATGCTGAAAGTAATTAATATGACGTATGACAGGCTATTCTTATCATAGAAATATCGATTTTTTTTAAAATAGTGCATTAATAAGAACAAATTCGAATTTTGGTCTTATAGGGCTTTTAAGTTGTGACGTTTCCGAGTCCAATCGCAAGATCGCTACAATCTTGCTGCAACTTATTTCTAGGATTTATTCTCTACTTTCAACAACTATATATATATATGAACAGAAAATCCTGCTATGAAGGGAGAAAAAAAACACACACACAGAAAGATGTCTGTAGCAGTAATTTTCAATTTGGACCCGGAAGTTGTTTTTCGTTCGAAATACGTCACACTTAACAGCTCTATATTCATGCACTTTTTAAAAAATCGATAATTCAATGATAAGCACAGCCTAAAGGATGGAACAACACCTTGTTAGTCTCATTGTTAATGGGCTTTTTATCGCGGTTTTTTGGTAAGCCTAAATATTAATTCACAAACCGCAGGGCTAATATAACATGGTGAGAGTCTGTGGCTCAAGTGGCACAGCCCACTTTTTACATTTGCATTTAATCTATATTTTTCATTTCATTTTTGAAGCGCGGCAAAGGAAGAAGGGGTGTTTAGACGAGAGTCTGTGGCTCGAGTGGCACCGCCCACACTCTTTACACTTCCATTTTAATATTTATTTTTCATTTCAGTTATAAAGCGCAGCAATGGAAGAAGGGGTGTTAAGACGAACCTCCTCGGGCTATAGTTGTATCGTTTAGACTAATCAAATCATTTTTTTTAAATAGAATCTTGCAAAAAGCTTTTGTAAATTTTAGGGTTATCTAGGAAGCTGAGACGAGACGTCCTCTCTATCTCACATCCTCGCGCCATCAGCCGCCATATTCTAGGAATTGAAAGGTAAAGCTAAGCTACACATATTTACAGCTATTTTCCTAAACATGCGACCTCGGTGCTCTTCAGTTGCACACTGAAATTTGGTATTCCGCTGCCGTCAATCAAACCTAATCAGTCGGTACCTTTCATATTTTTGACTGACGGCAGTGAAAACCCAAATTTCAGCAGGCAACTCAAGAGCACCGAGGTCGCATGTTTATGAAAATAGCTGTAAGAACTGATAATTTTTTTTTTTTTTTTTTTTTTTGCCATTACTGCGGTAGAAGTCGGAAGTTGTGAGCTGCACGCTGAAATTTTGTTTTTCACTGCCGTCAATCAAAAATAATCAGTCGATACCTTTTGTATTTACTGGGACTGGTGAGAGTAAAAACGAACTGCACCTAAACAAGCCGTTGGAATAACTGAGTTTGCAAAATATTGAAAATTGCTGTAAAGTAGATTGTTCTAAACTATCTGCAGATGTAGGAACATGCTAAAAAGGAATAGTATTAAGCGCTGTGGAATCTTTTTACCTATGGAAAATAGTGCTCAAGCTTAGTTGCTTTGTTTGCACGTTAATCAAAAACATCTGACGAAACCAAAAGCCACACTAAAGTGGAAACAAAAAGAAGAAGGAAAAGAAACGAAAAGAAAGAAAGCGCGAATATAAAGAAAACAAGGAAAAGAAAATAATAAAGACAAAAACTGGGGATTTTATTTTATTTTATTTTATTTTATTTTATTTTATTTTATTTTATTTTATTTTATTTTATTTTATTTTATTTTATTTTA